TCTATTCCGGGGTTCGATTGAATGAACCAATGTGTCGGTACCGCATGCATGGTGTTGAGTTGCATTCTTGCATTATTGTATGATGTGTTGATGATTGGACAGTAGGTCGTGTTTAATGTTGGTGGGGTGATGATTTGTATATTTACTGCCTTTTATTCATGTATTTTATTACCGATAATTTTGATCATGTTTTCTCACCCCTTTGTTGTTGTTGTGGTCTGTACTTCTTCGGAAGTACAGATAATCCAGGTACATAGCTAGCTTGGATAGTGGTGTGCGGGTCGAGTTTTAGGATGCTCTGATACGTAACACGAGACTTGGGTGTTTACTTTTATTATGATTGGATTTGTTGTATTTCTGTGACGTATCTAATTTTGGTAAACCTTGATGATGGATGAATGTTTTATGTAAATTGACAGATGGCCGAGAATGATGTACTAATGATAATTTTTCCGCTGCTTTATTTTGAAAACCATCAAATGAAGTGTTTTGTTGAATTTTGTGAATGTGATATCCCACTTTTGAAGGGAAACTCTGATATTTATTTTATTTAATCATGTTTATTTTAATTTGAAAAAGTGGAGTGTTACAACCCCAACTTAGAAAAGCATAAATTTCGAGTTTTGATGTGAGATTGATGATCCTTCAAGGTCTTGAATGGTATGCAAAAATCTCATCATCCTCTCTTCTCTTTTCTTCTTCATGTTTCCTTCATACTCCTCTTTTAATTTTAAATTTTGAAAATTAAATGAGTATGGAATAAAAGTATAAAACCAAAACTAGTAAATCCTCAACCCTGCTAAATACCAAAAATGCCCATGTGTAGTTTAAAATTTCCCCAAATGTGCCACTAAGCTCTAAAATTACAAATTTGCTATCGTTTTCATTAATACCATTTTAGTTTTTATGGCGAGCTATTAATTTCATTTAATTAATACATATTATATATATATATATATATATATATATATATATATATATATATATATATATATATATATATATATATATATATATATATATATATATATATATATATATATATATATATATATATATATATATATATATATATATATATATATATATATATATATATATATATATATATATATATATATATATATATATATATATATATATATATATATATATATATATATATATAAAATATGTATTAATTAAATGAAATTAATAGCTCGTCATAAAAACTAAAATGTAACTTATTTTTTTATTTCTTTTAATTTCTGCAAATATTTTCTTTATATAATTCTTCTCTCATTTTCATTTTGTCTGGGAACATTTAACTCGTTATAATATTATTTGATAGAAAAGAAATTCAACAATGTTTATATTTTCACTGACTATACACAATGTCAATACAAATATATATTTTATAAATGATATTTAAATAAAAGAAATTAACCACTATAATACAAATTTATTAGCTACTTAAAATAGGTTATCAATCATTTACATGCCACTTTACGATATTTCTTTTTTGTAAGAAATTAGAATAGTTAATCATAATCATTAAAATTTAATTCATTAAATTCATCTTTCTATAATCTATTTTTATCCTAACTTATATATATATATATATATATATATATATATATATATATATATATATATATATATATATATATATATATATATATATATATATATATATATATATATATATATATATATATATATATATATATATATATATATATATATATATATATATATATATATATATATATATATATATATATATATATATATATATATATATATATATATATATATATATATATATATATATATACACTAAAACATAATTCACACAATATTTTAAAAAAAATTGTAGCCTTTTGTAAATAATGAAAAATAAATTTAGAAAAGTATTTTTTATTAAATAAATAATATATAAATATGTTTTTTGTTGCATGAAAAAATAATATAAATATATATATATATATATATATATATATATATATATATATATATATATATATATATATATATATATATATATATATATATATTAATCTAAAAAGAAATTCTAATGCTGTTAATATAATTATATATTACTCCAGGAAATGTAATTTTCTTAAAATATAAAATGAATTAACAACTATAACAACATGAGTCAATCTATTCCATTAAATTTAATGAATTGAGTTTTAAAAGTTATAATTAATTATTCTCATTTCTTACATTAATAAATACTCTAACTAGAGGCAGGGCTGTATCTTCGGAATCCGTGTCAAAGTTAACATATTTACATCTTCAATAATTTCTTATAAAAATAAATAGAATTAATATGATCATTGAATTATCTAGATAAAAATATTGATTATGTCCTTAAGTTATTTTAAAACTACAAGCTAGTTTTTAAATTTTTTTTTTAACAATTTGATCCTTTATTTTAATAAACCTTTGCGTTGTTGTTGTTCTTTTTAAAAAGTTTTATTATAAAAACGCATATGTGGCACAAACGAAACACATGTGATATTTAACTAAAATGAGTTGACATTGAAGGTTGTTGATTTAACAAAATACATGTGACATTTAACTGAAATGTATTAAAAATTTTCATTGCTTTTGTGATTTCAAGATTTTAGCTCATGAATATTGTAATTTATATTTGGATTCAGGGTGAAAATTCAAGTCTAATAGTATATAATATTGTAATTTATTTCATTGCTTTTGTGATTTCAAGATTTTATCTCATTAATATTGTTAAATATGATGAACAATTGTGAAAGTGATAAACATGTACGATTTGCAGATTTAAAATTAGCAACCTTCAATGTCAACTCATCTCAGTTAAATGTCACATGAACTCCTTTTGTGCCACATATATGTTTTTGTAAAGGAAATTTTTAAAAAGAACAACGACTATTTGTTAACATAAAAGATCAAAGCGTTAAAAAAAATTAAAGATCTAACATGTTATTTTAAAATAACTTAAAGAATTTACACATTATTTTTTTCAATTATCTAATATTACTAACATATATCAAGTGTATAAACTTTTAATAACTTGAGCATTCTTTGCTATATGTTCAAGTAATTGATATGTAAATATATTTTAAATAACTTAATAAATGTTTAAATAAATTGATGTGTTAGAATATAAAATAACTTTTTAAATACAATAAAATTTTATAGACTTTGATCTATTAGATAATATCTCTCAAATCATTTGTCTAATCAATTTAATCCATTATTTACAAAAGAGTTATTGAAAAATGTAAGAGTGCTAGGTTTGACACGTCACAACAAAATAATTTTGACAACAAATTTTATCTCTTCATTTTTTTTATCTAAAGATCATGTTTATTCATTTAACTTTAAATTTTTTATATTTTAACACTATAATTTATTTTCTTTTTTAAAATAAAATACAATTTGTTTCCCCAAATGAGATTTATTTTTTGAAAATTTCTCTCTCACCTTCTTTTCTTCTTTTTTTTTTTTTTTTCATTTTTTAAATCAAGAGCTTTAATTTGTTTTACAATTGTAATAATTTTATATTTACAAGTTCATGTTTTTTTATAAAAAAATTGTTTTAATTTGTATTATGAAGAGAATTTATTTCTACTTTAACTTGATATGTATATTAATAAAAGACTGTTTTTTTAACAGATGATAATATTCAACTAATATCAAGATTTCTGAGTACTCGTCTAATAATAATAATAATAATAATAATAATAATAATAATAATAATAATAATAATAATAATAATAATAATAATTTATCTTATTATATCTTATTTTAGATGGGATAAAAGGTAATTTTCAACCATTCTTTTCTTTATGTGTAGTCAAAATATCGTGATAACTATGTATATGAGTTTCCATTATATTCAACTATTTTTTAAAAAAATTATTATTATATTCTCATAAAAGTTAACTTGTTTTTAATTTTTTTGTTTTGTTTTTCTACTAACAATTTAAGATTTTTTTAATCAAATATATATTTCATAAAGTATAATTATCTCAATAAATAGTATAAATATATTATTAAAATTACATATATTATTTTGATCCAATTTCCTAAATATTTCATTTAATTTTAAATTAATTTAAATACTTCCTATTTTTTTAAAGTATTTTAAAAAATTATTAATTTATAAATATAAACTTTAATTTTTTATAAAATATTTAATTTATTAATATCGACTTGTTTATCAATATAAATAAATTATATCACAAAAAATTTAATCTTAAACTAGTAGCTTACATCCATTTAACTCGGTTGAGCTATCCAACATATTCAAATTTATTATTATTATTATTATTATTATTATTATTATTATTATTATTATTATTATTATTATTATTATTATTATTATTATTATCAATAATCGCCACTAATGGGTATTTTAATAAATTTTGAAAAAGAATGATTGAATATTATCTTTCAAAATAGAGGCTAAATATTTTGTACTATTATTTAATCGATGAAATATATTGTTTTATTAAATAAAGTATTATAGTTATAATTTAGAATATATAGCTTAAATATCTTTTATTATTGCTTATTCAATAAATTTTATATTTTTTTTACGATGAAATAACAATATTATTAAATAAGATTAATATGTGTTAGTTGATTTAAATAAGTGTAATTTGCTGTTTTAGGATTCAATTCTTGATAACAACATTTATTTATATTCATGAATTAATGTCAACATTTTAAAAACAAAAAGTAAATTTTAAATAATATAAATTTTTTATTGTTTATTATAATCCTATATTAAGGGTGGTTTTCATAAATCTCAATTCTTTATTTTTTTTCTAGATTTAATTTATGTTACCCAAATTTATTTTAAAATTTTTAATAATATTTATGTTGCTTAGTAAAATAATAACTATTTTATTGTGATTAATTTTTCTATGTATATATACTTAAGAATTGAAGTAATAAGCAAAGAAACACAAACCTTTCAGAAATTCTTCTTTCTTGCTCATTATTTTAGTTTGCTGTCCATCACTACCATGGCAAGAGGGAAGGTGAAACTTGCATACATAATCAATAACTCAACCAGGAAGGCAACATTCAAAAAAAGGAAAAATGGTTAGAGATAAATCTTTATGTGATTTCAAATTAAACATGTATTATCCATTAGTATTCTACATATATATTTCTTTTTAATCACCATATTTTTTCTTGATTCTCGAAGAGGCTTAAAGGTAGACAAGGTAATGGGACGTATTCCCTCCATTCTCTTTTATAAGTAAATTTTGACTTTTTAAATTTATTGAATAAATGATGTATTAGGATAATATATAAACTAGATACATTAATTATTCAATAAATATAAAAAGTTAAAATTTGTTTATAAAAGAGAATGACAGGTGTAGTAGAGATGATTTTTACCTATCTTAAATTTAAAATTGAATCTCTAACAAATCTTTGATATCTACTATGATTCTTGTCGGGGATGAAAAATTGAACCTTCAAGTCGTCTCAAACGAGTTCTAGTATCCCTGCTCCGCTATCATCCCTGTAATGTAATTATTTTTTTAATAGAATATCAAATTTCATTATAAATGAAAAAGTAAAACAAAATCGAAAAGTTCCAAATGGAAAAACCCCAAATTCGGATCTAACCCAAATCAAAATGGATTTTCTTTGTCAAACTCAGACGGATTCAAACGGATATTTGCGATATCGAATTTTGTTTTAATTCGGATCTAACCCCAAATTGTTGTTTTAGGTATTATTATAAAAATGAAAATTTCACCATGTTTTTCAACAGGTATTATAAATAAGATCAATGAGCTAAGCACCCTTTGTGGAATAGATGCTTGTGCAATCATCTATGGAGAAAACTATCCTCAAGCAGAGGTTTGGCCATCTAGGATTGGAGTAAGAAATGTATTATCCAAATTCATGAGTTTGCCTGAACTCGAACGAAGCAAAAAGATGATGGATCTGGAGAGCTTCTTGTCGCAAAGCATTATGAAAGCTCAAGACATGCTGAAGAAACAAGTCGAGGAAAACCAACAGAAGGAAATGGCTTATGTTATAAGTCAGTTTATTCATACTGGTGAATATAACATGGAAAATGTGAGCTCTGATGATGTAACTAACCTTTCGACCTTTATTGATATGAATCTGAAAGAAGTTGAGCAGAGATTGGATTCAATGGATGTCCAAGACCAAGAGGAGGTTGCAAATGGTGCTAGAGTTGTTAATGAAGGAGATATGCTGGCTAATATGGATCACGCTAATGTTCAAGGTTTGGAGACCAACATCAATTATGGTATGCATAATGACGATCAGTTTTCTATTAACTTCTCTGATATACCATTTCATGATGTTAATGTCAACCCAAGTAGATTTTGATCTATCTGGTTGAAAATTACCCTGAAACATTATGGTATTTTTTGGTTATATTTTCAAGTTGCGTATCTCATGTTTCAATTTTCTTGGTATTTGTCTCAGAGATTTTGTGTGTGATTACATTTGGCCACAATGCATGTTTATTTAAGCATGTAATTTTTTTTAATGTAATGTTTACTTTTACAGTGTTGGCATTCCCCAATAAAATTAATAAAGTTTTTATTGTTTGGTCTAAATTTATTTAATAAGAAAATATTACTCCATAAAAAATTATGCAATGAACAATCTTGAGGAGTAAAATACATAGATTTTACATATATGGGGAAAAAGAGGATTCAATTTGTTGATGAAGAAAGCAATGGAGTTTGTTATGTTTACTAGATTTAAATATGATTAGGGAGATGAAAGCTTTTCACATATCCATTACGCTGATGACATCATAATTTTTGGAGGTAAAAATTGGCAAAATATCTTGATTATAAGTCAAATTTATTCTTGTTTGAATGAAGTTGGGATTAAATATCAACTTTCATACGAGTTTTTTGATGGAGATAAATATTGCTCAGAATTAGGGTGAAGCGACTAACATTATAAATTATAAAATAGAAGTCACACTATAGTGATATATTTGTAAAGGGCGCATAGGGGGCGATACGAGGACTAGCCCGTATTAGGAGCCCGCTTAAGGGCATGACTCTTAGACATGACTCCCCTAACCAATGGCTCGCTCTAGGAGGAAAACTTGGATAATGACATGTATGATGTCCAAAACTATAAGTGGAAGTAGTTATGACCATGATTCTTGAGAAATATGCAGTCCGCGAGCTTCGTGGTTAATATGGAATGGTTAGTACTTCCTAGGATCCCCTAAGTTCAGACTGATAGATCTTTATAAATACAGGTTGAGGAGGACAGTCTCATACTAATTAGGAATCCCCTAAAAAACAGAAATTCTCTCCATCGTGATTTTGATTTAAATCCACAGAAACACTAAAGCCTCTAACATCCCCTACCAGCTTAGTATTGATATCCATCTCTACCTTTTTAGCCAATACAGTGTCGCATACCGTAAGTCCCCGATAAAACTTATTTGGGTCACACCTTCCATTGTTACCACCACTTTTACACTTATCAAATTCTCTTATCCTAGTCCTAATCATCCCCAATCATAGTTTCTAGGAGGGTGCATTCTCCTTCATAAGATGATACTAGAGGTAGTTGTGATTCCAATGCCATGACAGAGATTTGTGCAGCCATGGTTGAGCTACTTCATCAAAACCAAACTTTGGAGGATAATGTCCTTAACATTCAATAATTCTAGTAGAAGGCTACCCCCACACAGGAGACAGAAATGTTGGATCCCCATCCCTATTGAGACGAGATATGGTAATCACTTATCCCATAGGTTTCAAGCCTCCCTCCTTTGCGAAAATCGATGGGCATAACGACCCTTACGATCATGTTGTCGCTATAATTACGCATATGACCATCATCGGAGCACTCAATCCTCTAAAATGCAAGATTTTATCTGGAAATTTTAGGGATGCAACAATATGATGGTACATGGGCCTACCTAGATCCTCCATTTCTAGCTACAAAAATCTAGTGAAGAAACTCATGCACCAGTTTGCAACGAGTCGGCATAGAAAGATGTCCACCACCAGCCTTTTTAACATTCAACAAGGTCCCTCAGAGTCACTGGTAGAATACCTTGCCCGTTTCAACAAGGCCACGCTAAAATTCATCAATCAAACCAAGAAATATTTGCAAGGGCATTTCATAATGGCTTCAAAGTAGGAAACTTCGACGAGTCCCTCGCCCAAAGGCCAACGTCTTTGTTAGCAGGGGTGGTCATAAGGGAAGAATGCTACAAAAGGGCGAGAAGAGTAATATCGAGAAGAAGGCATGTGACATGAAAGAGAACATCCTTAACACCAAAGGATCACATCACCCATGGAAGAACAACTATGTTGAATAAGTGACTTCAAGCACAAAAGGGTGAATTATGATATTTAAAATTCGTGATTAATTTAATACTTTTCTTCATTAAGATCGTGTTAATAGTTTTGTAAGAGTAAATTGTAGCATGAATGAAAACAAATAGTAATTAGTAGAAAAATAAAGAGAGTAAGGGTTAGAGATATTGCACCGTAGAGTTATTTAGGTTTGGCTGAAAGTTGGTCTACTCTTGTCCCCAACCAATGACAGCTTTTACCCCTGGCTAAGCTAATGAACAGTTTTGATATTTATGGCTTATATGAATAACCAAAACAAAGCATTCGAAATCAAACACAAATGTTTTATGTCAGATTTATCTCATGAACCAGACTCGATCTCTTAAGAGAATCACCCTCTTAAGAATTTAAACGACCAGCACAACCACTTACAAAAAATTTCTTCCTCACATGTAAAGTTTCAATTACAAGCACTAAGGCAATAACAAGTGAAAATAAATATTTTTGAGAGAGATTTCAAAAAAAAATTATGAAGTGTTACAAAGTGGTGTGTTATAAATACGAGACGTGCCTCCCTTATATAGTAGTTTGAAAAACCATAGGTTAGGTGGTCCCTCAAGAGCTCAAGCAGATGAATGGTCAAAGGATGTGCATCATATTCAACATCTCAAGTCCATTATTCATAAATGAAGATAAATAGTTTCCTTTCATTAAATAATCAAGTGCAAGATTGCATCATAACAAGCTCATCAAGCCTCAAGATCCTCAGTGCACCAAAATTAGGATTTTGACCTAATTCAGTCCCTGATTGACTTTTGGAGAAATGCATGATCCAAAACCTCAAGATATGTTTCAAGGAACTCAAATGCCTCATATTATTCCATTAATATTATTGGATTAATCCAAAGAACTTGATTCATAATAAATACAAGGATTCAAATTCATCTGGACCACAAACTAGGGTTTTTGATGTAAAGTCAATTGCACCTTTGGCTTTTGACCAAGACATAATCTCAAACCTTGGGACAAGATTTAAGACACTCAAAAACACCTTGGGAATCCATCCATAGTGTTAAAATAGGCCAAGGGTTTGATTTCAATAAAATATCACAAAATTCAAGTTCATCTAATACAAAAGTCAACTGTGGTCAAAATCAAGTTTGACTTTTGAAGTTCTTGGTCAACCATGGTTTCTTCAAGTCAAAAATGATGATAATATGTGATTTAGATCATGATTGATCAAAGAAAATCAAGAGAAGTGAGGTTACTTGTAAAAAGGGCAACAATGAAGAAATGAAAATTTTTCTAAGTTATGAGAAAACCCTAATTTGGTGCTAACTTGCCAAGGCCATAACTTCCAATCCAAGTAACCATTTTCTTTGATCCAAATATAAAATTGAAGAGCTTGTTACATACTACAACTTTGTTCTTTAGGGTGAAATCTCAAAAAATGCATATATTAAGAGATATGAAGCCATGACGTTAGAGGTCCCATACCTTTTGAACCTAAACACTTAGTGAAATTTTAGGCTGAATCTGTCTTGTGTTGAAGCTAAATTTAGGGTTATTTTTCACTACCATCCACATTGATTCAAGATAAACCTTGAACATCAAACTTACAGTACGTTATACTAACTTTCAAAAATGATCAAGAACATCAAAATCCTTTACTTGAGCAAGACGTTATGGATGCTGCAACAAGGCGTGATCAAGCTAAAATTCCAAGACAGATTTGTAACATGCTTGTGCAACACGACTTGGATAAGACTTACAAGCCTGAAATATTCACAAGATCAATGCCAAAATGATCACAAAACACGTGCTCTGCAGAGCATAACTGAAATTTCAAAATTTCATCACTTGGCATGTGAAAAAATCATTTCAAAAGCTATGAAGTGAGGTTTTGTCCTCTAGCATTAAAGTGGAATAGTGATTTTGAGCAAAAACCCTCCAATCTGTTAGAACTTGATCAGAGCATCAAGGGATGGGATGAAACCATAGCCAAGCTCAAAAGATCATAACTTGAGCCATGTGAAGAATAACTCGTGTGTGTCTTTGCTTTCAAGTTATAGGTACAAGATATCATTTGATGGATATTAGCCTACATCCAAATCCTTTCAAATTCAAAATATCTAATGTAATACTCCTATAAATAGAGGTCATTATGAACATTCTAAGTACACCAAAAAATTACGAGAAGCCTATTTTTTCCAAATAATCTCCTTTCCATATTTCAAAGCTTCTAAGAGAGTCAAGACTTAGAACATCAGTTCTAAGTAACCTCTGTCCAAACCGGTGATCCTAACACTTCATATACATCATATAGAAATGATGCAAATACACCTCAAACTTCTGAAACACCAGAATCACTAAGTCACATCCCTTTTGCTCCATTTTGCTTCAAAGCTGCATATTGGATAGGCCAAAGAGTTCTAAGAGGTTTGTAACCTATTTTAACATTGCAACACATCCTTAGAGGTTAAGGAAGCTGTTAGCATCAAGAGTTTGCATCTGTAACATCTCCAAGCCAGAATTCGATTTTCACTTGCAAGGTAAGTTTCCTGAAATATTGAACTCTATGATTCATGCATCAATTTTGATCATTTAAGTTACAAACATGTTTGTCATGATGCAAGGATCATTTTCCCTCAATAAATTACTTCATATTTTGTACATATGGAATTTCATTTTAAATTATCATTTTAGGGTTCACACGGTTTTCAAATCAATATCTTTGAGTACACTAAATTTAAATGGAATTGAAAAGAACCATTTAATTCCTTGTAAAATTTCCATCAAGTTTCATTTTTACAGTGTACCATTTGAATATGTATTCTGAGAGATAGCATTTGGAGAAGATGAAGATGATAAAGCTGTTAAAGGTGATGGCCATGGTGCCACATTCCAAAATAATCTAAATTTTTGTAATATATTTATTTTGATGAAAACAAATCAATGGATGTATTACCACCCTAGTGGTTGAAGGCGCATGTTTAAGGCTTTGTGTTACCTTTAGGTCTGGGGTTCGAATCCCCCTCCCCCCAGACC